TCAGTTGGTTAAGCGACTGCGTTCGGCTCAGGTCATGATCCTGGAGTCCCGGGATCGAGTCCCGCATCGGGCTCCCTGCTGAGCAGGGGATCTGCTTCTCCCTCTGCCCTCTTCCCTCTCGTGCTCTCTGTCTCTCATTCTCTCTCTCTCAAATAAATAAATAAATAATAAAATCTTTAAAAAAAGAAAAAAGAAACTGCCAGGAGTAGTTGCTTCTGGGGAGAGGGCTTCACTTTCACTGAACAGCCCTTTACACCTTTTAAATGCTATGTGGTGTACACGTAAAGCCCATATAAAACTAAAATTTTAAGTTGCATCCTTTACTCATCCCTTATTATCCATTATTACTCTCAGTGGAGGTGCCACTACTTATATATGGGTTTACTGTTGTCCAGGAATTAGGAAAAACTCTGCTGGGACAACTATATGGGGCAGACAATTCCCAAACTTTTCTAAAGGCTCTTGATAGGAATCTATAAAACAGGCAGGTGATTGTCATTTCTAGTAACCAATGGTACTGTTGTAACTGGAAGAGAGAACACAATCATTGCTTAAGGCACATTCTGATCCTTCAGGTTTCAGCTCAATGAGTGTTCAAAGAAGTCCCCCCTGGCCCCCTGAGATCTAGGCCTGGGGTTCTTCCAGTGCGCTCCCACTGAGCATTCAGTGTGTTCACCTAATGCCCCCTTTCATGGTATAAGCTGGGCCTCATCATCAGCGTACTCCCCAGGCCCAGCGCCAAGACTGATGGCCTCAAAGTACCTTCAGCCACAGGCACTAGACTTCCAACCCCCTCACAATCACCCAGTAACTGCAGTCACCACACCAAACAAGCACATGGCCGCCATTTCTGAAAAGGCCCACAAGATGGAGATGTCACTGCAGGGATGGAAAGAGAATGCGCTCTGCCCTTCCCACCTTCCCAGACACATTTGCTGTGGCATAATTATTGTTTGCTTGTTTGTCTCATTTGAATACTCAACATGAATTGTTCAAATATTCTTGCAATTTTTTCTTCTAAAAATATTTAGAACGTTTCCATTCAAAAAGCACATTTTCAAAATTGAAGCATTTAGAAAGTCTGCTTTCCTTAAACAGTTGCATCTTGTATCCCTGAGGGCCTTCGCAAATAGTTCTGGTTTTCTTATTTTCTTTTGTTTTGGCACAACTCAACTTCCAATTTCATGTAAATTAATGTTACACTGTTTCTGAAAGAGAGTCCTATAAATGAAGCTATAATAGGAGATGTGGAGATGGATTCATTTTAATACCCTTGCCTTGACTTAATTCGGTATATTGTTTCTTCAGTTCTTCCTTTCTAGGTCAATTTATCATTCCAAATTTGATTAATGTCCAATATACTAGTATGCTTGGGAAAAATACGGAAAACTCTAAGCTCACAATGATGCCTGGTGGTATTTGGGCCCGTTGTAAGTGGCCCGACCTGCCTGAAGGGGTGTTTTAGTTGGCCTGATTCTCCTAGAACTTCAGGGAAAGGAGTCTTATTTCCAAATCAAGGGAATAGAGTTCTAGATCTTTCCAGTACTGCACAGGACCCTGACAAGCTGTTTATTCGTCAGGAGTGTGTTAACAGAAGATGTGGTTTCTCACTGCAAAAATCCAACTATTGTTCATAATACTTCAACATTTTTCCTGAGTTTTTCGCTTTGGTTTCAATAATTATGGGTATATAAAACATTTCAATAACCTTACAAATTCTACTAAAGTATATACCTCAGTAAAAACAATCATATACCTTAATAGGGCAGGAAATGGTCATACATGTGAAAACAGATTATGAGTGACATCCAAATAATCCAGTAGTCAAAAATGAAAAAGAAAAAAATTAAGCTGCATTAAGCTATATAATACATACAACTGACATTGTACATTTGGGTGATGGTATACAAATATGAGTTGGAGCTGGGGGCCCTCCTTATTTTCCTTTTTTTACAGTCACCGATATAAGCCAGCAAAGTAAGAGTAAAACATGGTGGCACGGCCAGGCCTGGGGCCTTGCTGGTCTTAATGAAACAGCACATCTGATGTTTCAAATGATTCATCATATGGTTTTGCAAAGCCATAGACAGTGATGGTTGAGAAAAAACAACAACATGCAAATGTAAAGGAAGTAATAAACCATCTGAAGCTTTACTTGCTAGTGGATACAGTAGATGGTGCAGGTAAAGAACTTTCTGTGGCAGAGAACGCTGTAAGAGAGAACAGACCACTTAGGAGAGGAAAGGCCTCCGTTACTGGTTTCTCTAGTCACCAGGTCTCAGCAGGCTGCCGGGAGGGATTTCATGCCAGTACCTTCTTCAAGCCAAGGACCACTGAGTCCACCTCCCTGTGGCCCCCCAATGTCTCTCTGGGTGTCATACAGACTCCTCATGCCTTGCATGCCCCAGGCTGAACATCTCCACCTTCGATTTGCTTTTCTTCCAGTAACTTCTGTCTCAGTTCCTAGTTTCTAACACCCTCATGTTCAAGCAAGCCTGAACCCTCACTCATTCTGCTACCTCTGCTCCCACCCTCCTCCAAGTCTGCCCAAACCCATTGCTCCTCTCAAGCCCCACGGCCACTGCCCTTCCTGGGCATGGTCAACTCTCTTGGACTCAGATGCAGCTTCTGGCAGCCCCTGTCCCCGTGGCCTCAACCCACTGACTCCATTTATGGATGGGTTAGAGCACCTCACCAGCTGCTTCAAAACCCTAGCAGCTCCTGAGGTCTCAGGATGAAGACTAGCCTCCTCCCCAGACACCCTGGGATCCAGTCCCACCCTTCCTCTTTTAATCCTCATCCCCACCCCACCCCAGGCCCCAAGAGACACTCAGCCAGATGGAGCAGGGAAGGAGACAAGAGCAGAAGTCTTTCCAGAGGGCTCCACAGCTCAAACCTGGAACTGGGCTTCCAGGGGATGAGGAGGAGGCAGAGGCTGGGACTTCCTCTTTAGGACCTAGGTGCAATTTCCCACAAAGCCCAGGGCTTTGGAAACCTGCAAACTTCCCATCCTTATAACTTGTCACCTTCAGGGACCTCCACACTGCGGGTGTGGGTAATAACCAATAAGTGGGTAATTCACCTGATCCTTCAACTAGTGTTCACTGCCAGTGCTGCCAAAGCCAGGCCCCAGGTACTACGGGGCACACAGCAATGAATGGCACCTGCTTCTTGTCCCCAAGTTGCTGTCCACCTAGCAGGTACAAGATGTGAGATGTACTATCAGTAAGACTCTAATATTCCTGACTTTGGCCCCCAAATCTCACATCCCTTAAGACAAGGATTCTCTTCATTGGTGACCTCTGTGGGACCAGAAGTGATCTCAGCTGATCCCAAGAAGAGGTACCCTAGGGTGAAGGACAGGGTCTTCAAGGTAATCCACTTATTATCTTACTGCCAAGACCTAACTAAGCCCAACTAAGCCCAGGGCCATGCTGGGCTGTGGAACCTGAGATTTTGACAACATGGAGCTTATATGCCCCTTGGAGATTAATGTGATGGGTGGTGAGATAAAGCCTATTGGACAGCCCCTCTTCCTGGGGCTGTAAGGTCTTGCCTGCTCTCCATCCCAGCCAAACCTCGAATCACCAGCCACGCTCAGCAAAACACACTTCAGAATATGCAGAAGATGATCAAAGTATGGAATACAGGTTGAGTTTGTTTTACATTCGTGATTTGAGGCAAATGATCTCTGAATTGCTCCGGTCTAGATTTCTGATCAATCTTGAGCCGCTGGATGTTCTATCTTATGACATATTGTCACTTCCCACTGGACCCACATGGTGGGGTTCACACAGTGCTTTCATGGGTACCTTTTCATTGGCTCATCAAAACCACCCTCTAAGGTAAGAGTTGGCATAAGTGGTATTTCACCCTCAGGGATTAAATAACTTCCCAGTGAGTATGTTGGAACCCTGGCCAGTCTTCTCTAACTCAGCACTCTTGCCATATAAGGGTAACTGTTTTTAATTGTTCTAAAATTACAGGTCTTACCTTTTCCTTGTAAACACATCCTTGTGCAATCACTGGTTTCCAGAAGTAATAATTAGTTAATTTCTAGTGGTCTAATACTCTTGCCAAGTTACATTCCTTCCATGGACCCGTGCAATTCTTTTCTCTTCTGGTAGGTCCTGGATTAATTACATTAAGGTATTGACCTTAATGGGCCTGCTACCCCCTGATTTATATGGAATTAATCATTCAAAGGTAAAAACTGATGTATATAGGACAAAATGCAGACCTTACACAAAATCTAGACTGGTTTTTCACAAGTCAATCAAAGCATTCACATTTACATATTTGGGAACAAATTTTTATACTTTCTATGGAAAGTTTGTAAGGAGATGAGACAATAGTAACAAATATCACCTCTAATATAATATTTACTTTGTAGATAGGGTCAAAGAGAAGATATTCTTGCGTCTGGACTACATTATGTAAAGGAAAATACCTCAGATTATGCTTTTTATTTATACTTTTCCTTTAGTCGCTCTTAAACTGATTTCCTTCCCTGGAGGACAGTGAAGCGCTCAGCATGCTTCTTATAAAACCTACCTTTCCAGCCTGGCCTCCTGTGGAGGTGAGAGAGATGGCGTGGGGGTGGCGGGCACAGCAGATCCAGAAGGTCTTGAGTGGTAAGAGGTGTTGCCAAGGCTGTTGTATCTAAACAGTGCAGAAGTTTAAGGTGGGGAAGAGGGTGGAAGGACAGAGAAATGAGTACGAGTCAGTAAATGAGTAACGTTTAGCAAACTATCTTTAATTTTTGCAAGAAAATCAGGCTTGGAAATGCTAATACTGTTAGCGATTATCCTAACTTAAAGAGATTTACCAACTGCTTTGTTTTGATTACTTCTCATTTAGAGAGGTTTCTCAAAGGCCAAGACTGTTAGGCAGCAGGATTTATGACAAAGGGTTTAAGTAAAACCCTCATATCTCCTTGTTAAATGTATGTTAAAATTCTTTGCTAACAAAGAATCCAAATTATTTTCATTTGAAAATATGAAGATCCTTCGTGCCTCTCATGGTGCTACAAACTAATGTTAAATCCATCAAAGATCTGTAGAAAATACCAAATGATAAGCTGAACAAACGTCTTATTAAAAATTCTGCTTTACGTATTTCCAAATCAATGCCATTCATTAAATGTCATCTTGTCACGTGCCCGATGACCAAAATGTCCTCAGAACTTCTGGACTCATCTGCTGACCAGAGGTACATGTATTCACGTTTTCAGCCAATATTGCTTTTGAACCAGGAGTACAGCCACCAGGTCTAAATGATCCTTTATCATTTCCCAGTCATCTGCTACAAGTTTCAGGATTTGTAAAGTTCTAGAGTTTTCTCTGTTTTTCCGAAAAGCTGTCCTTTAGCAGTTTGCATTTAGCTAGTATCACTCAGTGTTTTTCCAGAAAACAAAGCATCCCCTGAAGCCCTTGTGGCGGGGGAAGGGGAGTTGGGGAGCAGACACTCATGATTAGTTACAAACAATGAGATTCAATGAGCTCTGCCTCTCAACCAACTCAGCCACAAGGCAGGGCCGACTCCTTTCCCTAAACTGGTTGGGGACACTGTATTTGGGTGAGTGGGATCCCATGGGTCACTATGATATAAGGGCGCAAGGACCTTCCTGCACACAGTGAATCCAGTCCAAGCTCCCATCAACAGAAATCAGCATGAATCATTCTGGGAAGCAAGTTAACATCAAATGTGAATATCTTTTCACAGAAGCAAGCCTACTTTTTGGAAGCTAACATAACCTTATGGTTATTTACATACTGAAAATGTCATGCATGGTGATACTCACTGGAGCATTATTAAGATCATGGTGGAAAAGCTGGAAATTACCCAAGTAGGTAACGACACAAGAATGGCTAAAAAGTGTGACCTATTATCTATCCATGGAATATCATGCAACCATTAAAAATGATTGCCAATTCTGTACATAATAGTAGGGAACGTGTTTATATACAGGCTGAAGTAAAACATCAGAATATAATATTCATACCAAGTTAGATTACAACTGTATAAAAATATTCTCAAAGATCAAAAGCTATGTATAGAAAAAAATTAAAAACTGGCCATCTATTTTAAAAAGTGGAATATAGACATATATTTTCCATCTGACTTAATAAATTACATTATTATAATGGTAAATAAAATATTTATATTACCCCAAATCTATCCTGTGCTGCCAAGTCTGGTCTGCTTAGCTATTGTTCTTCTTGTGTATTTGGTATCACATGTCAGGCCTGTGCTTAGTACTCAGGCATGCCACCAGGCAGATGAAGACCCAGATCACACAATCTTACTCTACCGTCCTCCTCAGTTAACACATCACCTTCATGGGACTTGGTTTCTGGGCATTCCTTTTCTTTTCTCTTTAACAACCCAATATGCTCTGTGTCTAACAGGTTAACTGCTTCTCCATGTGAGAGTTAGTTTGACTTTTTTTTTTAAAGATTTTATTATTTATTTGAGAGAGAGAGAATGAGAGAGAGCTCATGAGACGGGGGAGGGGCAGAGGGAGAAGCAGACTCCCTGCCGAGCAGGGACCCCAATGCGGGACTCGATCCCGGGACTCCAGGATCATGACCTGAGCCGAAGGCAGTCGCTTAACCAACTGAGCCACCCAGGCGCCCCTAGTTTGACTTTTTGAGAATGTTCCCAAACCACAGGGCATGGAGAGGGCAGAAAAGCAAAGGATGAAAAGAACATACAAAGAAAGGAGGCAGCAGAGAAAGGAGAAAAAAGCTTAGGAGCAGAGAAGAGGGAGAGAAGCAGGCAGAGAGCACTGTGACGTGGACAGGGAAGGAGGATGCTGTCAGGAGCTCTGAGTCCTAAGGGAGCTGAGGCCCCTGTGCTCAGGCTTCAGCCCTGCACCCCCAGCCGCCTGGACACTCAGCTTGTTACTCCACATAAGCATCTAAAACAATCCCCTTCCCACCAAAAGTGGACATCTTGGAGAATGTTTTAATAACAGGATTACTTTACTAAAATTGAGTTTAAATGACCTGATGGAAATAAAAACAAGCATAATGCATATTCCCCCCTGCTTTGGTTTTTCTAATGGCCGAGCAATTAATTCGAAGACTCACAGTCCATTCAGTTTTGCTTCTCAATTTCAGCCCAATGAACTGGATCCTACGACTCACGCAATTCACCGTACTTTTTTCCTTTGGTGCTTTACATGGACTAACTGGTTGGTATCTACTAGAACCAGCTCAATGGCAGTCAACCACTGAGCTGTACAGACTCCATGAAAACCACAGTGAGTGAACATCAGAAAATTAATAGGTACAAACAATATTTATACAGCATTCAAATTCCTGTCAGACAAAAGGTAAAAAATTGTAAAAATTTCTCAGTTAAATGTAGGGCAATCTTCATGCACAAGCATGAAGCAGTTTCTCTTAATTTATGTGTATATTCATTCCAGCAATTTATGTGTTTCTATTACTCCCATCCCCCAGGACTATAAGCAGTGGCGACGACCAAGTGGGAAGGACCTGGGCCCAGGAAAGCCCCATCAGAGGCCGTGAGACCGTCAGCAGAAAGTCCAGAGTCACCCTCATGGGCTACCACCACCCTGCTGGGGAAGATGAGGTTGCCAAGTTATTTTTATTCCAGGCAAATGTACAGCGCTCTTAACTTGCACACATATACTGTTCTTGGAGGACCTAAGAGCCGTGTTGGAGGCGCTCCATAAAAATCATGGGAGAGATCCAGCAAGCCCACAGTTTGAGACCTACGAGAGACTCCTAGAGAACCTGCAGTTTGAAGGTGCCCGAAGTGGAGTCCACACACTCCCGCAGGCAAACCAAGCCAACCTAGAAACAAGAGGAAATGAGTTCCATATCTGCTCTCTTCTTAAAATGGGTCTGCCTGCGGCCACTCCTAAGGTCTCCAAGTTCTCCTCTCCTGCCTCCCCTTCCAGGATGGCCTTCCACTTTTAGGGAAAAAAAGCAACACCCTCACCCAGGCCCAATCAGCGTGGGGCAGTGCTTCGAGCAGCAAAACCTCCAGGGTGCCAGGCAAAGGAACAGTGTGCACAAGCCTCATTCTTGAGGGAATCCCTTAAGAAATACTGAGTAAGGAGAAGGCACCACTTTGTCCAGGAGTAAACTCAGAGCCAGGCCTCATGCATTCCCTCTATCTACCTGCCCACCTACCTGGGAATTGTGTTTAAATGTCATTATGATAATAAAACAAGCATAATTCGTTTTTCCCTCTGTTGGTTTTTTGAAATAGCTGAGCAGTTAGTCCAAATACCTCACAGTCTGTCCAGTTTTGCTTCTCAATTCTAGAAGTGAGATGGTTGTCACAGGGATATGCACGTATTTGAACTGAAACATGAAGTCAGAGTTTCTGACAGAAACTCAGTCTCGTTCCTCTGAGAACAGGCTTTGTCAATCAGGCATACGCAGGTGTTTCCCAGAATTTAATCATTTAAATCTGAAACCCCAAGGTTTTGACAAAAAGGAATTTAAAGCACATATACAACAGACAAATTACATCTTTTACAACTGTTTAAACTCCTAACAAAAAACTTGAGACAGGCTATTTAAAACTGAGGGAAGTATGGGGCGCCTGGGTGGCCCAGTTGGTTAAGTCTCTGACTCTTGGTTTTGGCTCAGGTCATGATCTCATGGGTCATGGGATCGAGCCCCGGGTAGGGCTCCACACTCAGGGAGGAGTCTGCTTGAGATTCTCTCCCTCTGCTCCTCCCCCCACCATGTGCACACACGCTCTCTCTCTCGCTCTGTCTCTAAATAAATAAATCTTTAATTAAAAAAAACTTTGAGGGAAGTGTCAAAATATTCTTGGGTCATATGTAAGCAGAAAGGTTGATGGTCACAGTTCTAGATTAATTCTCCTATTTATTAGATGAAGCATCTGACACCCATTGCAACTGGTCCTATTTGTGGTGTGAAAGAGCGGTTCTTCAGGTCTGGGTCCCATACGCCTTCATTCAAAACAAGGTATAACTTCTTGCTGGGCACCCAGGCCGAGGGTCCCCCAAATACAGGCTCTGGCAGAAACATTTTGTTGACAAGGACTTGCCCGAAGAACCCCTCGCGGGGAGCAGCCAGGGTTCAGGTATTTGGAGTTGCTGTGTAGATGACCCCAGGAAGGAGAGAAACAGACTGCCTAAAAGAGAGGTCTGTACAACCTACAAGTTAGGATCAGAACCTGGAGCAGGATGCTTGGGGTAGAAACCACTCCCCATTTCCCTGGCTCTCTGTGCCTTAGTTTCCTCCTTGTAAATAAGGGCTAGTAACAGAACCTACCTCTTAGCACTAATACCGTAAGATGCTAATTTCATGGGAGGTATAGGGCCCAGCTCATAATCAATAGATAAGTGTTATCAATGATTATTACTCTAAGATAGGAGAAGCCATCGGTATTATCAATCACTGATTTGGGACTATTGGTTTTTCAAAATATTTAAACCCTCTGTCCCCCTTTCCCCACTCTGCAGAGAACTCCTAAGCCAGACAACAGTGAAGGGCAGGCACACAGGCAGGTGACGAGCACCTGCTAAAATTTCCTTGTGCAGTTCTGATTTGCACACCCCCCTCCCTCTGCTCCTCTCTCCAATTTTTGCAAGAATTATCGCAGCGCTCATACTTAAGTCACGTAATTGCATCAATGCCTGTGAAGGGATTCAAACTGCAATTGCTTGCCATCTCATGGGGAGCCATGAGCAATCTTTGAAAGAAAAACGCACACATTAGAATAGAAACAGGAAGCAATAGAAAAGGGAGAGAAAATAAAGACACCCACCTATTAGAAGAGAAAGACCGGAAGTTGTAAGGTTCAGAGGCAGAATACGTGCCCAAATGGAGAGAATCAGAGGGACTGTTAAAGGAAGGAAAATCCCACTCAAAACACTGCACAGAAAGAGGGCAGAACACTTCACTACATTCTGCAGGTCAAACAAGACCCACACAGGTAGGTGCAAAATGTATAGATTTTGTCAGACCATGCATATTTTTAAAAACCTTATGTTTAAAAATCCATTTTTTAATTGTATTATAGCAGAAGAGCTCTTTGATTCAAACGGATGACTCTTTTCTTCTGCCTCTTGCCTAAACACTGGTAGTTAGTTAGTGGTTAGGGAGTTAGTTTATGCCACAACTGCCCTCAGCTTGGACTGGAATCCACACGAACACACAGGCAAGCCAGAAGGTACGGTCAACATGCTGTGTCTCCTTCCCTGGATGAAGCTCACACAGGCCTCCAGGAGGCTAGATCTACCTGCTTTCCTTCGGGGACTCGGCCTCCTTTTCCTTGGCGGACAAGGGCGAATCCTCGAAGTCGTAGGAGAAGAGGTGGAAAGGGCTGTGGGGCACATAGGGCAGCTTCTCTATGGTCGGTGATGTCTTCGGGGGCTCAGGTGCAGTGGAGGAGGGCCGGGAGGCCGAGGCAGGGGTCAGGGGCGGTGACAGGAGGGCAGCCCCGGAGGACCCGCTGCGCAAGGGACTCCCCACTGCAGTGCTGGCCAGAAGCTGCTTTCCCTGCGAAGTGGCACTGGAGAGGGCTGAGCTCTCGGGAGCAGCATCCTTGCCAGCGGGACTCTGCTCCGAGGCAGGTCTGGCCTCTCTGCTGACCCAGCAGGGAGGAAGGGAAGCGGGAGAAGGAAAGGGAAGCAAAGGTTAGGAAAGCAAACAAGGCACAGAAACCCCACTACTGTTAGGGTCACTTAACTCCAGAATCAGCTGTTTCTTGAACTGCAGCATGGAAGCCCACCACCAGAAGCTTTCGTTCGCCCAAAAATCCCGGCGCCTGGGCTTGTCAATCTGGGAGGCAAGACTTGCCAAACGAGCGCAAGGACACATCCCTGCAAACCAGTCTGGCCTCTGGGCCTTCAGAGGCTTTTGTGTGGGGATTTAATGGAGCCCCTAAGGCTCTTGCTCAACAGCTCCCCAGTCTCCCCCCACTGATTGTACTGACACCTGAATTTCCACGATTTGAACTTCATTCCTTTCTCTTGGTCAAATCGAGGTTCTGTCCTCCTCCTAAAAAGCCCAGCCTGGAGGAAGAAGTATTCCCCAAGCCTCATCCTTTAGGTCCCTGCTTTCAGGTGCTTCCTCAAAAGCAGGAATGGAAAAGGACAAAAGAGAGGGAATGCAAACAGCCAGAAAAGAGGGACTGGCACACTCAAGTCAGATTTGGCCCACTTCACACTTTCTCCACCACCCACCTCTACGACTAAGCCCTAGACATCTGGACTCCTTCAGGCAGCCCAATTCTGCCACAGTTGTAAAACTTTTCCATTTTCACAGGACTGGATTTGGACCACTGAGATCTTTGGATGTACACTCTTATAACCACAGAATCTCTGTTAAACTCTGCATTTTTCAAAACCACGGTCCTTCTCCCAGAGAACTTGACTCCCAGCCATGCCCATTCGGGAATGGGACGTGATCTGTTTTCTTTTCTACCTCAAATTCGGAGCTCCCTCTGTATAGAGGGCCAGGGACATAACAGTTCCCCTGGCTGGATGAGGGGATGGCAGTTAAATATACCTCAGTGTTAAATATGCACTACTTTATTTCCTAAAACCTGAAAGCCTAACTGTATTTTGATCAAGGATGCCTCCAGCATCGGATCGTATAGAAAAAAGACCTTACAGAACAATAAACCACCATCTACCTGTGGAAATAACAACCCTATGTAAAGACAGCACAACATCAAGCGGGATGCTTTGAAGGCTGCCCTTTCTAGCCAGATGCTTCCTTCTGGTCCGAGGTGCTGTACCATAAGAGTAGCCGAGGGCGATGGGTTTGTGTGGGTGGGACAGACCACGCACGTGTGAGTACATATGGAGCCAAACCAGTGTATTCATTGAGGGTCTACAGGATCTCCAGTGGCTGATTTTCAACCTAAGGTGGGACTATCAACCAAACTTCCTCCCTCCCCAGAGCAACCCTGGGTATCATTACCCGCAGGCATGGCAGCTCCCCATAGGTGAGGGGCTGTGGCTAATGACAATCTTTCTCCCCCCTCATTCTGACATGGGTGGCTCACTTTTTGTGACCAGGTCATTCTTTTCCTCTCTCCACACCCCCACCCTGCTGGCTTCTTCCCAGACATTTTCCAAAGCAGGGAAACAATCACTAGTTTGTCGGATCAGAGAGGATTCCATGGCCCCTGGGAATGACGGGTGTCTCAGCACATCAAACGGACCCCTTTTTTGTGTACTGGTGGCCTGGAGAAAGAGGCCAAGCGGCAAGGAATCCCATTGATTTTGAAGTTTGTAAGAAAGAGGTTTCATCCTAATTTATCCAAGAGCTCTTTGATTTTGCTTATTTGTGGAAAAACAGTAAAAATATTCAATTTGCAGTGTAGTGTTAGAAGATGAAATTACTGGTGATCAACTTTTATCTTTTATAAACACATCATTTTGGGAAAATACCTACAAAATTAAAAAAATATCTGCAAGGTGTCTGTATCTATTAACGCTGCCTGAAGATAGAAAGAACGCATACTTGAAAGGTATTAGCAGAGGACAGTAAACTCCTTCAAAAGGCTGCAGAATCATGGTACTTATGCTCAGGGTGAAAACAGATAATGGGAAAATTTTCTGGGCTGCATGGGGTGAAAAGTACTCCTGTCCATTTGGATAAAAAACCAACCTGCATCATTAACATAGTTGTTACCCACACACTTTAGCAACTGTTACACTGGTAAAATTAGTAGGAAGAAGGGGACACATGGAATTATCCTTCCTACCATGCTGAAAGGGTTACTAACATTTTCCGAGCAGACATGAACATCTTTCTAGTCAGTGTCAACCTAAGCCAAAGCACTAATGAGGGAGGGAACAGCAGGGAGAAAACCAGTTATGCGATTTTTTTTTCCATAAAGCAAGGTCAGGAAGGGACAGTGCGGTTCTCTAATGAACACGTGCTCAGCTGTTTCTACAAAACTAGTCACTCTGTGGCTCTGTGTTCAGGGTAAAGACTGCCAGTGGGAGCCAGGGAGGGAGATCTTTGAAAGGTGGCTGCAAACGATCTGTTAGGAAGGAACCTCGGGCTGTTAGTGGGAGCCTGGGAGGGTCCAGGCTCGGTACCTGTCCTTGCCCTGACAGGGGGCATCGTCCTCTCTCTCTTCCTCTGAATCGGGCTCCGTGACTGGCCGTTCCTCTTCCTCCTTCTCCTCTTCCCTGAGACAAGGCGGGGAAAAGAGAAATGCACAGACACGAGATGGAAAAGCGAGATAAGCATGACAAACAGGAAGATGAAGCAAAAAAACAAAACACAACACAACACTCCAGCTGGCTGAAAAGGAAAGAACACACTCGGTCCGTTAGGCGAGAGGAGACAGTTCTGAGATGAGGACATTTAAACGTGGGTAGAGATACACTAATCCCGCACAGGCCAAGTTTCGATGTCAGGTGGGCCGGATGCCCCTGCCCTGCACCCCTCCCGCACCACGCGGTTCAGAGCAGCTTCTGGCCGCGGGCAGGTGCTCTGCCGCGCCCTGCCTCCTCCACACAGAGTCACGCCATGAGTGCTCTTGGCGACATCCCGCTCCTGCCGAGAGCACCGAGTCCTCACTTCCCTGCACCCCTCTGGCTTAGAGACCACCGGGGGTCAGGCCAATCTGGCACTTACCTCCATGGGGGACACGGTTTTTACCTTCTACTCCCTTGCCCCCAGGGAATGTGGTGCAGGGGGCTGATCCGCTCCCACTTCAAGTGTGGACACATGGTCCTGAGTGGAGTTAGCGGTGTCACCCCGGGACTTCTCCGGGTGCCTTCCGGGATGAGTAACCGTAAGGGCACCCGAACTGTGGAGCTACGAGTGGAGGAAGGCTGCCTGTCACTAAAGGCCAATCCAAGAAAAGCAGAGTTGGGCGGGGGGGGTGCAGGTAGCCATCCCATGACAATTTTAACACCTGGATCCAGTACTTTTGAAGCTCTACCCTAGCCTTTCACCAATGGAAGATAATAAATTCTCACTTGCACTTAAGACAGTTTAACTCGGGTTTTGTCCTTGCAGCTACATGAGTACAGACTTTGATAACCGAATCATTACCCTCCTTTGGGCTCTGAGCCCTTGTCAACACCTGACTCATGTCACGCTCCACACGGAACACCTACCCCAGGCCCTGTGGTCTTCTCCTTCCTTTGTGTTCTTAAACTCCAGTGACCTTTATCTTTTTTCACTTCGGCCCCTCACACTCTGGATCTCACCATCAGACAGAACCAGTCCACCTTGGAAAACTTACATCCAAACTTCCTACCCCACCCCCGACCACAAACCGTCACTCAGCCCCATCTCTCATTCCTCTCCTTCCACTGGAGCTCAACTGCTCTATCCTCTACCTTCTCAACGTGGCCATCTCCTTCTTGCCTTCAGTCCTCACCAATCCACCTTTCCCCACCTCAGGCATCATTTTGCCAAGATCTTTAACTCTTTTGTCCCCACTGTCCTTCACTCATGTTTTCTCTTCCTACTGAAGTATGAAGTACATTCAGAATAGTACACAAATCACAGACATCTCACAAAATGAACACATCCTTATAACCAGTAGTCCCTTAATGCTCTCTTCCAATTTCTTCCCTTCCCTACCTCACTTCAAAGAGCAGAGATTAGCCTGGCCGGTTTTTCTTCTGTCTAGAAGGAACAATGATGTCCAGCTTTTTTTGTTCAACATAACATTTGGGAGATTCATCGACGTTGTTAGATGCCACAGAAGAGGATTCATTCTCATTGTTATATAATACTCCCTTGTCTGAACAGACCACAATTTAGTTACCCATTCTACTGTTGATGATAACCAGGCACTTTTCAGTTTGGGGTTATTTTGAATAGGGCCATTATAAGCATTGTAGTATATGTCTTTCATTAAATATATGTATATATTATTATGCAGTATGTATCTAGGAATGGCATTTCTGGGTCATTTATGCTTGGGTTCATCTTTATTAGAGACTAGTAAACAGTGTTTTAAAATGTGCATTCCTGTAAGTAATATATGAGCATCCTGGCTATCCTACATCCTTGCCAAGATTTGGCATTTTTTTGTCTATTTTATTTTAGTCCATCTAATCTGTTTGTATTAACGTTTCACTGTGGTTTTAGTTTGCTTTCCCTGATGACTAGTGAAGCTGGGCACTTTTGTCATACTTTTAGGTTGTCCTCCATTTAGATATCCTCTTTTTGAAGTATAAGTACTTTGCCCATTATTCAAAACCCAGGTCGTATTTTTCTTTTTGATTTGTAGGAGTTCCTTATATAATTTGGGTACAAGTCCTTTGTCATACTTAATGTGTTGCAAGAATCTTTCCCTCTCTGTGGGTTGCCTTTGGATTCACTTCACGGTGTCTTTTAATAAAGAAAAGTCCTTAATCTTAATGAAGTCCTATTTATCTTTTTTCTTTGATAGTTAGTGCCCTTTGCATCCGTTTTAAAATTTTTTGCCTACACCAAGGTCTTAAAGGTATTCTGTGTATCCCTCTAAAAGCTTATTACCTTTCATGTTTCTATTTGCAATTCACCCAGAATTGATTTTTGTACATCATGTGAGGTGTTAGACATATTGTTCCTCGATATGGATATAAACTGGCCCAGAATCATTTAGTAAAAAGGTCATTCTTTTCCCTACATCAGTATCATCATTATCATAAATCAGGTAAATACCTGTGGGTTTTGGGAAGTGAATTTTTCTGTGTGTGACTACCTTGCTATCTTACTTACTATAGTTTTATGACAGATCTTGACATTGTGTAGTGTTAAGTCCTTAGCCCTTTGCATTTCTATGAGAATTTTGAATCAGCCTATCAATTTCCATAAAAACCCTGCTGGACTACTGTTTGGGATTACACTAAATGTATATACAAATTTGCAGAACTGACATCTACATATTGAGTCTTTCAAACCATAGTCTGGTATAGTCTCTATTTAGATCTAATCTTATTCCAACCTTCTTTAATATTTCCTAGGAGTGTGGTAATTTTTCAGAAGAGATCCTACATACCTATTGTTAAATTTATTTCTGGTATAATTTTGATGCTACATTACATTTATCAATTTCTAAACTTCATTTTCTATTTGTTGATGGTATAATTTTTTAAAAAGTCTACCTTGTATATAGCAACTTTTCCAAATTTATTGACTATAATACTTCCTACATAGATTCTTTTAGACTTCCTATGTAGACAATCATATCATCCGTAAGTAATGACAGTTGTGCGTATTGCTTTCAAATTCTCATGCCTTTCTTGCCTTATTACCCTGGCTATGAACTCCAAAAGGATATTAAATTGAGGTGATGAATTTAAGTATTCCTTTATTTTTTCCAGATATCAGGGAAATGCATGAGATTTGCCATAGTTTTGTGTGGATATCCTTTATCAAAGTTGCCTTATTTGCCAAGAGTTTTTTTATCATAAATGAATGTCAAATTCCATCAAATGGTTTTTTTTTCACATAAAAAGATAATCCTATGATTTTCCCCTTTTTCTATTAGCAATGAATTACAAAGACTGCTTTTTTAAAATATTAAACCAACCTTGTATACCAGGAATAAACCCTACTTTGCTGTATTATTCTTTTTATATACAGCTGGGTTCTATTTGTTAATATCTTATCATGATTTTTTTTTACATACATCTTCTGCAAAAATTGATCTGCAATTTCTCTTTCTTATAATGTATTTGTCAGGTTCTGGAGTCAAAGGTATGCAAGCCTCATAAAGAATTAGGGAGAGCAGTGAGGGTGACAACTGTGGGACTAAGGAAAAAGGGATGGGATCCGAAAAAGATGAAAGCAGACTTGGCTGAACTTGGTGACTGATTAGATGTGGCAGAAAAGGGGGAGAGAAGCATTGGCAAAACCCAATGATTACATGTCCCGTACCTGGACTGAAGGGCACCTCTGTCACAAACAAGGAGGCCAGCATTCCTCCTGTAATGCCACCAGATGCAAACCCACACACCTCGTCTGTCCTTCTGAGCCTGGTACAGCTTTCACTCACACATCACCCCCTATCAGCCTTAGTCTTTTTTTCTCACACCTGCTGCAACAGCAGCCCAGATAAAAACTGTTCCCTCCATCTTCAGCCTGATGCCCCCTTCACTCAGCGTGAGTGGGAATGTGCAGATGCTATTACTTCTAGTCTACCAAGAATGCCCTCTACCCTGACAACTAATGGGACTCTCTTCTTTAAAACAGAACACCGAGTCCCTCCCTCCAAAGCGTCTTGATTTTACTTGCTCCCCCAGGAGGTAAAGTCATCAGAAGCAAAGTCTGCTAGATGGAGATGCTCAGAGCCAGGCTGCCAGGGTTGTACTCCAGCTCCACCACTTACTGTTATGTTGACTTTGGGTCCCATGTTCCTCACACCTACAGGGGATGATAACAGTACCTACAAGTTGTAGGAGGGTTGCATTCATATGTAAAAGCACCTTTTTTTTTTTTGGTAAGAGCCCTTTGAAAAGGCTTGGCGTAGGGCGGACAAATCAGTTTGTTATAGCTCTCGGCCATCATCAACAACATCACCACGCCTTTTTGGGCCCCTCTCAGGCAATCTCTAACATCTCCCACCAATGGACACTCAGAACTCTGTTTGATGCCCTAAAAAAAGAGGACACAGTACTCTGCAAAGCATTCTACACCACTGATAGACAGCAACACTTTTCCATTTATAACTTCTGCTTCTGTAAACTTTTTGATCCCTCTCTCTTCTGCATAGTTGCCCCACAGATGTCTAAAGATCACTCTCCTGACCCACATCCCAAACTGTATCCTCTTTGTGCTCAACACCTGCTGATCTTGCACCAAACTGTCACATGACCTGTGTGTGCATAGCTTTACTATCCTGAGTGATGGGACAGGACCAACGGCAGGCAGCACAATGACCTATTTGGAGGGCCCACTTCCAGGGATCCCTACAGTCAAGGCACTGACCTTGCCCTATAATCCAAATGGCTGGAGAAAGAAATACTCTCTTCATGGTACATAGGATTTTCTTTGCTTGATTTTAGTTTTGGCCCATGATGAATTAGTCAAACAGAATCTTTTGTGCTGATCGGATTTAAGATGAAGAATTAGTTCAGACAATTTTGTTTTTCCCCCAGCTGAATTTTCTCTTAAAGTATAATTTTGTTTACATTTATGCAGAAAGAATCCTGGGTCTCTGGCCTTTGGTTTTCAAATACCATGAGGGGTGTTTTGTTTTTAACTGATAAGGAGTTGCTCCAGCATACAGGTCTACTCTGAACTCAACAGGCACTTTCCTTTTCACCACAGGCAATCTCAGACTGGAGGCCACCCTTCCCATATTAGAAAAGG